AAACAACCAGTTTTACACTTCCAAGGCACTTGAATGCTCTATCTCTGTACAGCTAAGATTAGGCTTTTTGTTGATATGGATAATTTCTGTGTCTGTCTTTATTTGTGTGGATGATCTTCAGATTACAGCCTTCTCAGAAATAAAATATGAAAATATGTACCATCTCTGACACACTAATGAAATCTTTCTATAATCTGCAATCATTGGGTAATGTTTCTTAAATGTTTACAGGCACATGTCAGTGTGGCAGGTGCCAATGTGCTAACTCAGAAGAAAATGGACTGGTATATGGCAAATTTTGTGAATGTGATGACAGAGAATGCATTGATGATGAAACAGGAGAGATTTGTACAGGTATGTAAGTTAATGCCTGCAAGAAGAGTGAAGATGATTAATATAGATTCTTATTTAATTGCACGGTTCTACAAAATATCTTTACTGAATATATGACTTAAAATAAAAGTAACTCTATTTGCAAGACTTCACGCTGCAAATTCTAAGTGCAAATTTCAGATGCAAAAATGAGCTAACCAAAAGGTTAAAGAATGAATAAATCCTGTGACATTCTCCTCTTTTGGGAAGAACTGCAAAGAGGATTGTACAAGATAATTCACTAAGGTAATTCATAGCTTAGTGTGTCTGTCTTCAATAGACTATATGAGGAATGTGAATGCTTTGTGGCACATATGAGAGAGAGCAGAATTGATATCATATGAAAAAAACCCTAGGAAATAGATTATTAGAAATTTTGTCAAGGAAGCAAAAATTAAAAATACCAGGAATAAATGTAGGATGATAAAAGCAGGAAGATACAAAGAGAAAGGAATGAATAATGAATTTAATCTGTGATAGGAAAGGCAGGAAAATAAGATGGAATGAATTCTGCTGATGGATAGAAAAGAACCAAAATTCAAACTGTTCTTTCATGTCATTATAAGGCAGGAACGTGGCAATTAAATATTGTGCAATACACACCATTTATGGTATTATAAATACTGTTGCCTGTGTTGAGAAGGAGGCTTGTCCTTGAGCTGGAAGGTACTACAAACATTGTTCAAGCTACACATATGCAAATTGTGTCCATATGCCGACAAGAGTGTTCCAGTCTTGTTTTTTTTTTACTTCAGTTGAAACTTTATCAGTCAACTAACCATCACTTTTTTTTTTTTGAGGTTGCATACACTTTGGAGTCAAGTTGCAGCTCTTTTTTGAGAGTATCATATCTTCTAGCTAAAATTAAATTCTGGTCCTGATATTTTTTTTAAACTAAAGCTTTTTTACTCTAAGGGAGTGATTTTTTTTCTCCTGCCAAGAGCAAGAGGCAAATTTTATCATTTAAATGATATTTATCTGAGAAGTATCAAAGTGTGAGAGAAGAATGAGGTATTGATATTTTAATCTGTGAAAATTGCCTCTAGATCAAATCATTATACTCCTTTAGTATTTTCCCTCCTCTTTTTTGCTACTGTTCATGATCAACCTTTTCAAAATAATTATTTTTGATTCTCTATGTTGTATTATTTAATTAAATTACTTGGTTTTTCACATTTAACCAAATGTAATGAAAATTCCATATATAGATGCAAAAAACAGGAAAAATTGTATTCAATAATTTGCAGTCTTGATAATTAAGACTATAAATTGACCAGATTGTGATAGAGATAGCCAGGTCTACTAAGCTCAAAGGAAGAAAGTACAAGATCCTGATTTCATCCTACTATTAAACAGTTAACTTTTGGCTCTAGGATTAGTAAGAATTGCAACTATTTAATTTAAAAGCTTTGTTCTTTGAAGCACATGGCACATGTGCCTTAGCAGATGAAAATATTCTGGATCTGGTTTCACCCAGATGATGCAACCATCTTTTTTTGGGATATGTATATTTTGTTAAATGAACATCTGAAAGAATAATTTTGAAAAGAAGTCTCCTTGATGAACTGGTTTAGCCATGTTTGAAAATCTTCTTGACAGAGGGGAAGAAGAAGGGAAGCCATATACAACATAGTTGGTGTGTAATAAATCAAGATGTGTTTACTTCAGGTAGCTGAGGAGTCAAGAACACACAAGGTGTTCTTAGACATGCCAAGTATGTGTCCTACCTTGATGTGTAAAGCTATGCTTAAATTTTAACTATTACAGTCTTCAAGAATTACCCATAAAGTAAAAAAAAAAAAAAGTTTACAGGTATAAAAATTATGTTGTCTATTAGTGTTTCTTGATTAGACTTAATCTATGATTAAAGGAAAATCCCCCTCTAAAATAGAGGGGAAAAGTATAGTTCTGATGTCCTTTGATTTTATGTATTCATACATGATCTATAAATTGTTTCTATTCTGAATCTAGCAGTAAAACTTTTTAAAGGAAAATATTAAAACAGTTACATTGTTAATGCCTTTTAAAAACTTGCCTCTTTCTCACTGTACAAAATTTGTTTTGGCTTAAGGCCACGGAAAGTGTTACTGTGGAAACTGTTACTGTGAGGCTGGTTGGCATGGAGATAAATGTGAATTCCAGTGTGACATCACCCCCTGGGAGATCAAGAAAAGATGCACATCTCCAGATGGCAAAATCTGCAGCAACAGAGGTGTGTCATTTGCATGGACCTTCTACACGTGTTTATAGTTGGCTTTTATTTCACTCTATGCATTGTCTACAGTAGGACATAGACTGTCTTTGCCAAGTTTCTACTTGTTCTCACCTATTTCAGCTCTGGATATACACTTGCAACTGGGCAGATACCTGTGTTTAGGTATAAACTTACACAAATCCACATCCACTTCTTGATTAAGCAAATTCAATTTGTTCCCATTCTTTATTTTTGTAGTAAACTGAGAAGGATAATTTGTTATTTCGTACATATTTGTTTTGCTAAGAGGCTTAGTTTGCAAAATAAAATATTACCAGATTTTTGACTTTGAATGGACTGGTGCTGTAAGGTCACAGAACTATATGTCAATTCACACAATGGCATTGGGAAAATGAAAACGTGAAGCATTTAATTTCCACTACAACCAAAAAAACACCTGTGAAGTATGCAGTAACAATGCTGTGGAATGTATAGAGATGGAAAAGTAGACTTCACACAGTTTCTCTAACTACATAAGGTTTTATCTGCACACAGTTTTGGAATTTGAATTTTACCTTATACTTGTGTCTAATTTTGCCTTTTTGGGAAAAAAAACAACCACAAAACCCCACAAAATAAGGTTGCCTTTAACTAGCTGCTGTGAACAAGTAGGTAAAAAAAAAAAAAAAATAGTGTTTTTTTGGCAATAGACCAGAATAATTACAGTAATACATAAGCAAGAGTCACATAGATACCTCTCCTAAAAACATCTCTACTGAAAAAACATGCTTGCTGTATTGTGAACATCTAGTCGTCAAGAGAGCATTTAGAAAACTCTCTTCTCATAACTAGGCTGAAATTGAAAGTTTGGCTCAAAAGCAGAGATCATGTAGGCTCATTTAGTCGTGGGACTTCAGCATAAAATTTTTGTGTAGTTCTAGAAATAATAGATATCAAAGTATCTTCATATCAGATGCTTTCTTTGTGCTGAGAAAGTAATTTCTTGGCAAAGAATTTCTTGTCAAAGCAAGCTTTTAATCAAATTTGAAATTTTAATGTGCGATTATTTCTTTAAACTGGCATTGCAATAGGAGAAATTGTGTGAATGCATTGCTGATAGTCTGAGTAGCTGCAACCTCCAATACAAAGGTACATTTGTGTGATACTTCCATGCCTTTAGCTTTTCATGTATTTGTGATTTTATCTTCATAAGAATTTCATAGGCTTCTGATATGGTGAAGTTACTTTCCAACAAAGTATTTCTGCTCCATTTGGTCCTACTTACCCAATTTTCTGTACTTATACATCTTGTGATATAAGTACGGTTCATCTTGTCAGTCTTGAGCCTTCTAAAAATCAAATATCAAGGCAAGCCTTGATGCTCACCCTCCTTCAGCTAAGATGGATAAATTGTTCTAATCTTTTCCCCTGGGCTATCTAGTCAACCAGTTTAGAACACATGTGAAAATTTAGATTTTTAAACTTTGGTGGGTTTATGTTCTGCATTCTGACATCCAGGACAGCTGATCTAAATTAACTCTGAAGTTGTTTCTGGGAGGATTAATCACTCTCCAGAGGCATTTCCTGGTTCTGTTTGTTTGTTGTTTTGTTGGTGGAATGGTTTTTTTCTTCTTCAGTAATGTCACTGAATTGTGAAACTATTAAAAATTAGGCACAAATTTCTTGAGGGCTGTCTCAGGATTTTTAACAGACTAGAGGGCAGAAGCTTTTTGTGTTCATATCATGCATGCTGGGTTGTGTAGACCCGCTCCTTTTATTAGAGAATGTGCCTATATCTATGTGTACTGTTTAGGCATCCTGTCCTGGTGTGTCAAATATTATATTATATTGTTTAGAATAACCTAAATAAGATGGCAAAGGTGTTAGCAGAGTAGCAGAAGGTGAAGCCACTCTACAAGAAATGAGCTCTGTGCTTCTACGAGCCTTTAGCATCTCAAAAAAGTAGTGAGTGTGCTCCCTGAAGCATATTTGAATTTCTGAATAAGGAAAATATCTTTTTTTGTTTGGTTAGGGTTTTTTGTTCAGATTTTCCTTAATAAGTAGGGTGCATATTCTCTGCATATTAGTAAAATATGCACATTTGTTTTCTGTTATTCACATTTCTTCTTATTGTAAACAATGGGTGTGGTCCTGAATATTGACTTGGGAAAGTGGAGAAGTATCCTTTCATGTAGATCTGTGCTGCTGTTCTTCTTAGGTACAGAATGACCTCCTAGACTTTTTCAGCTGTGTTAGGTTTGGATTCTCTTGTAGTTTAAATGTTTATGCTTTAACAACCATTAATTATCACCTGTGCCCAAGCCCAAGTCATTTAAACAGAATTGATTTTTATTGTCATTACTGACAGGGCAAATTACTGTTGATGTCAAAGATGTACAACTGTTCTGTGAGCTACATTTTTGTTGACTCCTAGCAAGGCTCAACAGCAAAAATAAACATGAGGAAGCCAATTAGTTTGTTTAAATTATTGCTACTAAATAATTAAGGAAGTTTCAAATCATAGAAGATGAGCACACACTCAAGATTATCCCTTGCAAAATTGCATTATCACTTTGAAATTGCATTTCTGTGAGAGCTGAAAATTCACAAGTGTAAATTCCTGTAATCAAAGTTACTCTAAATTACAAAGTTAAACTTCCATCTCTGTGTTTTTTTCTATTTTTTGGTGCTTTTTTAATTGTCTTTTTTTTTTTTTTTTTTTTTTTTTTTTTTTTTTTTTTTTTTTTTTTTTTTTTTTTTTTTTTTTTTTTTTTTTTTTTCTAGGCACATGTGTATGTGGGGAATGTACATGCCATGATGTGGACCCAACTGGTGACTGGGGAGATATTCATGGAGATACTTGTGAATGTGATGAAAGAAACTGCAAAGCAGTGTATGACAGATATTCTGATGACTTCTGTTCAGGTAAGATTTGTGTATAAAGGGGTCTTAGGTGTAGTTTTATAAAAAACCTCCCAATTGGTCTGATCTTCCTCTTCCCTAGTGCTCCAATTCTCATTTTCCTATCTTAAAACATGCCAAGCTTGGGTGGCAGGAGGAGGCCTTTTAAGTTAAAAACATATTTCTATACTTTTTTTTTCCATACCACGTAACAAAATCCTGTTAAGTATTAGATTCTTTTAGGTGCCCATCTCCCTTCTAATATCCTTGTGTTCAGTGTAACCTAACATGAATTGGATAATGATTGAAAATTAAAAATATACATATATACTTTCTTGGGAAAATTTGATTTTGAAAGTTTTTTAGATCAGCTTATGTTTGTTATTTCATTTTTATATGACAGGGAGATGATAATCAAGAAGAAGAAATTCAAGGAAGAGTAAATAAATGAGTCAATGAAAAACAGTCTCCTGAGAATAAAAATTGACATAAGAACAAGTAGAACATCAATACTTGAAAAATATGAATATGTGGCTCAGCTGCACTTCTGTAGCTGTACCCTCAACTGTACATCTTAGACACATCCATCTTCTTTTTTCTTCTACTTGGACTTGAGAGCATTATACCCAAAATAGTTGACATCCACCAATCCATCAATCCATGGCTTTGCAGCTTAGATGTTCCATGTACCAGCTAACAAAAGCTGAGATTCTGAGAGAGACCTTGCATGCAATTTTGTGTGGATGCTAATAAAGATGCCAATACTAGGCAGGAGAGAAGGACTTTGTTCAATACAGCATGCAATTAGTACACACAGGAATCCTCCTAAAGCAAATTAATGTGATTTCAAAGGGATTTTACAGATTGGAGGATGTCAGCTTCAATGCATCCTGTAGAAATCTGATCTGGCCTAATTGATAACAGGAAGAATGTAGTCACATCAAGGTGACTAATGATGATGTGGTATATTTTCCTCCTATTCCTAGAGTGAGGTATGTCCCATAGAAAGATCATTGGAGTTGTCTGTAACAGAGAAAGAAAGCTGAAACGAGCATGATAAAGAAAATTTTCAGCCTTTTCTTTGCCTGTTTAAAAAGTGAAAAGTTTCTAAACACTTGTGGATTTTTTTGTGTTTTTTTTTTTTTTTGTTTGTTTGTTTTGTTTTGTTTTTAATAATTTTAGAGGAATTGCTAGCTAATAAAATGGGAAAAGAAGCTTTTCCAAAAACTTAAGTGACTTAATTTGCTAGTTACTGTTCAACCACTTGCAGATATTATATATTTATTTAATGGTTTATTTAATGAGTAAACTAGAATGATGTAGAGCTGTGTGCAGTCACGAAGTCCTGAGAGCAGCAGGAAGATTGACTTTGTTGTCAGTTTTTGAATGTACCACCGTGTTACTATCAGGGTTTTTAGCACTTTGGGACTAATCAAAACATCAGCATCTCCTAAAGAATGTAAAGCTACAAATCAACAAGGTAAATGCATTCTGTAGTTAACAGTGAACACAAGAGTTTCAAACTGAATTAAATTAAAGCATACCTGTGGCATCTACAACTAATGCTGTACAAGAAAAAGTCATGCTTGAATTCCCCCTTTCCCGGACATTACTGCCTTTGCAGCTGCTGCTGCCCAGGTTGGTAATGGTTGTAAGAAAGCAGAGGATAAGAATGTACAGACAGTTACAAAGGAGCTTGGGGGAAGATATTGCCATTTGGCATTGGATTAAGGACTGGTATATTGTTCTCTATTACTCAGACATAACTGTAAATGAGGAAAACTTAGATATAAAAGGAGGGACTTTTATGGCTTTGCTTAATGTGACTAAAACTCAAGTTGAAGTATAGTTTTATTTTTCCATCTACTCATCAAAAATTTTAGTACTAATTATTTTTATCCATTCCCTTTCCATTATGTTTTAGAAAAGTCTAATTTAGTCTTAGCTGGCTATCCAAATATACATTCCTAAAATAGATTGTGCAAAAAAATCTATTTGCACATGAAGCAATGTGAACAATGTCTTCTAGTCCTGCTGTTTAGTCTTGTTTCAGAATGAGAAAAGATGCATAAGTTTTAATTTTGGTTTATTGTGGTAGGCAGAATATGCAATTAACAGAGAAATTGTAGTGGGACAGGTTTTTTAATTGCTTGTATGAAATAAATTTACTTGCTGCACAAAGTGTACATGCATTAGGTGTATCTGCAAAATATCCTCGTTGTTTCTCACAATTATTTGTAAATTGATTTGGGATGAATCCAAGAGTAATTAGTTAGATTAGGGAAAATAATCCATCTCTTAAAACCTTCATCAAACAGAGATGATACAAAATTTTATTTTCTTGTTCTGTCTACCTAATAGGTAGAGACAGGAAACCACTTTGTCCTGAGTCGCATGGAGAAATTATAGGAAATCCTGTTTTCGTGTAAAGAGTTTTACTGTGACTGAATGAAATTTTATGTTTATTTAATAAAATGCAAATGACAAGAATTGACAGTTCTGATGTGAGGATTTAACATCCACAAGGGCAGCTCCCTCCAGAAGCTTCATACGGCTCGAGGTGACTGTTATTTCACAGTACATCATATTGACAACTGGATGCCTTCTTTTAACACCTGAAGTGCCATTCAGAATATTCCTGAATTATTGTCTTCCAGAAGTCTTCTTGACATTAAAGTGATTATCTTCATTTAAAGAGATAATAGCTTTCAGGACTTGATACAGAAAGAAAACATGCTTCCATTAAGAGAATGTGTATGTTCACACATTTCATTAGCTCCTTTGCTGTGTCTTTAGCAAAGAAACTATTGTATGAAAGTACCTAATCCTCCTGTAAGTATCTGTCTGGGTCAGGGATCATAAATCCAATTCGCAACCTGTCAGCAGGTATACATGAAAGCAAAGGAAAGAATCATGACATCAGATAATGGTTTTTGTTGGAAATAACCTTAAAAATCACCTGGTTCCAACCACTGCCATGGGCAGAGACACCTTCCAGTAGACTGGGTTGCTCAAATCCCCATCCAGGCTTCCCTTGAATATTTCTAGGGGTGGACATCCACAGCTTCTCTAAGGCAACTTGTTCCAGAGCCTCACCGTCCCCAGTAAAGAATTCCTACCTATCCAATCGAAACTCATCCGCTAAACAAGAGGAAGCCTGTATGCTTTTCACGGAAAACAAATAACTAATGTAAAGAAAAAGTTATTTTGTGAAATTAATAAGACTTATATTCTGGGAAGTAATCTGATGACACCTAGAATGATTGTTTGCTCCCATTTTCTCATTGTGAACTAATAAATAAATATGTTTTATAAATTGGTACTAAAGGGCAAGTATGCTTAAAAAGAGATATAAAATCTCTTACTATGGTTTTCAGTAAGAACACGGATAGAAATGTGGACATGGGAGCATGCTTTGGTCCTGGGCCCAATGAATGATGACTGTGTGAAAATTGTGAGAGGTCTAAACTGCTGTCTGAGCTCATGAAAATAGATATTTTATTTTGTGGCAAGGAACGTTGTTTTGCTGATTCTCAGGCTTTTCTCAGGTACATTTTGCGTTGTCAGAATCTCAATGCTTTTTACAAAGAGCATAAAGAAAGAGAAGGACAAATGTATTTTTTCCTGGTTTTTCTTGAGAAAAGCTCAAGAAAACTTGCATATGTTTGCATTTATATAGAGGATAAAGATATATAGATACCAAAAACCACATCCAACTGTCCTATTGGAATGAGACTTGATCATGTCCAATATTTCACTGTTTTAGTATTTGTATATCACTGTTTAGTAGAAGGTACTTGTTTGAGGCTTGGAATTGATGTGACAATGCTTGTCTCTAGTGGATCATGTTGATTGCAAGTAGATAAAAAATAGTATTGGTATATTTCTTAGAGAATATGCTGTAACCATGGTAGAAAAAGAACATAAAAATAAATGAAATATTGCCTTATGACATTGCACTTTTCCAAACAGTAGTAAAATGTGTATTTTTAATCTCTGTTCCAACCTTTTGCATTTGATCATGTGTGAAGTGGCTAAACATTCCTTAAGGAAAAAACAGAAAAGGGAATATGGCTTAAATTGAATGGTTTTTCAGAAACAAAAGTAGATATAGTGGATTGGTTGTATTTTTTTGCCAGTATCATTACTGGCAATGAATGAAGCCCCAACTTTGGTAAAGTTCATCCAATTAAGAGTTTTTTATACCTCATCAGAATGGAGGTTAATCTTTAATTGTATTCATTATAAAGGTCATGGACAATGTAATTGTGGAAGATGTGACTGTAAAGAAGGATGGACTGGGAAAAAGTGTGAACATCCACATTCATGTCCAATGTCAGTTGAAGAAAGCACTAAGAAATGCCAAGGAAATTCTGATTTACCTTGCTCTGGAAGAGGTAAGCATATTTCTGGAAGAATTTTCATGTCCTTTAAAGGTACTTCCATTAAAACAATTCTTATAGGTGTCCAGCATCACAAGTACTGAAAAATGTGTTCCTTCTTGGCTTACCATGCATGAATCACACCTGTACAACTTGTGAGTTAGGAGGGAAGAGAATACAAAGGTCACCTATTTTTCGTGCTTTGTGTTTTATTTTAAATGTCTTAACATTTATTTTGGAGGTTTTCAAGGGTGCATTGAAAATTGCTGTAGATATATTAAAAATGTGGATTTATACTGTGTGTTTTTTGACAAAAGCAGCATGAGATTTTTGGCCTGTGTAAAATGTTATGGCACCATTGTGATAAGGGCTGTTTGGATTTACTCTGACTAAGAAACTGTCCATTAAGTGCAGGACTGACTTCTCTAAAATGCAGCTGTGCTTCAGCATAGTTTGCTAGTTGGCCATTGACTTTTAATTTGAAAGCATTTCTTTTTGACACTGTAGCCTTGTCAAGTGCTTTGACTAAAAATATATACTAAGTCACACACACACTTAAAAGATACATTGCAAGCAATTTTTTTTCAGAAGGAAAAGGACCTGCTAATTTGTCACTGAATGAATTGTAGTTTTCTGCAGAGATAAGAGAGAAAAGTAAATACAAGACAGAATATTGCTGGAATAGGTGATTAAAATTGTTATGAATTTTGCCCATTTAAGTGTTTTCTGGGAAAGGCCTAAAGCTTCTCTTGAATTACTGCATTTGATCCTTGATGTCAGTAAATTTGTGATTTATTCTTTCACTAATACTATCTAACATAGTCAAAAATTGTAGGCTGTCCACCCAAGTTATCTCTGTGATAATTGTACTTTTTTCCCTCTGTAGTTGTGTAGCAGCTCATTTACTTCTTAACTGTAGCATTAGGATTATCTTAAAAAAACGATGTATTAACAGACAGTTGCTTGTTCTTTTCTTAATTAAGATGCAGTTTTCCAGTTAATTGTCTGTCTCTTTTCCTGATAAAATTTTGCAACAGAACTTTTTGCTACAAGTTAATTGGAGAATGGGCATCTGTAAAGAATTAGCTGCATTTTATTTTTTCATGTTTGCAAGAAGGGAGCTTTGACTTTTGATTTAAATTTTTATTAAAAAAAGAAAGGAGCATTTACTTTTGATTTGATTTTTAATTTTTTTAATGCAGGATAATTTTTTTTCCTGTCCTTGAGGGTGCTGAATGTCTCTTTCATCTACATCACTAAAAATTGTGTATCTGGAGAGCTTGGAGTCAGTTCTATGATTTAATTGCATTGCTCCCTATGAGGACAGAGGAAGTATAAAAATCATAAAAACATGTTTAATTTTAATAAATATATAGTATTGAATTTTTAAAATTAAGTATAATAAGAAGAATAAATGTAGTAATTTTTAAATTAATGACAATAATTCTACCCTTTTGGCCTTCTGCATAAATACTTGATGATGTGTTCTCATTAGTGTTCTCCTGTTGAAATCGTGGCAGTGAAATAGGTAATTTTCAGGTGAAATAATTTGACTGAGTTGGTCAAAAATTTGATCTGTTGGTCAAAATTTTCAAAAGCATTATCTATGGGAACAAAAGACTTAATTAATAGTGGCTTTCATTGAACTTTGACTTCCAAACTAGAAGAGATCGCTAAGGTATTCAAGGAGTGAAAAAGGCTCATATGTGGATTTGGGACATAGTGTGACAAACAGCTGGTGTAATGAAGGAACCAGAGATTCTACATTCTCAGCTTAAAAAAAAAAAATCCCCATGAAAACACCCATTTAAAAATGGAAAGCAGTATCTTGCTTTAGTTTTATGAACAATTTTGTTTAAAGCATTGGAAAGATATTTCAGTCTACTCATCTGTGTTTTACTGTTTTTGTTGTTTTTTTTTTTTTTTCCTTGAACTCCTTGGATTTTCCCTTCTTCCATGATACTTTGGATAAAAAAAAAAAAGTGTAAGCAAGTTTGTGAACTGCTAAACAATCTATTTCAAGTCTTGAGGAGTGGGAAAGGCCATAGGCTTGTAAAAACATCCCCAATTTTTTTGATGTCCTTAGAGAAGATAGTGTGATGAGGAAAGTCTGAAAAGGAAAAGGAGATTTTTTTTTTTTTTTCCATTTGAAAATGATGGTACAAGGACAGTTTTCCTTGCCCAGGTCAGTAATCCACTGTACTGCCAAAGAAGTGGAGTACTTAATGTCCTTATTTAGTAGGACCTTTTGGTAAAGCAGTTCATGTATGAAATAGGATACACAACAGAATTCTCAGAGATACAGTTGCATGACTTTATGATTTTGCCATGTATTGTTTCCTTAAAGAATATTTTCTGTTCATCTGTACCTTTTGTTTTTAGATTTAGATACTTTTGTTTATAGCAATGGGAACCAGATTTTGAGAATCCTGTATTCCCTTAACTATCAGTTATGAGATCTGAGCAAGAGAAAAAAAAGGTATAGAAAAAAAGAACATGGAAAGAAAGTGGGTTTTTGTAACCTTTAATGTATCAGGGGTATATAAAAGTTGTCTTAAAAATTATAGAGAATTGAAAGAGGTTATGAGGAACACAATTAGATAATCACTCTCTATAAAATGCTATAAATTATGATTTCTCAGTCTATATTGTACTTTTCTGAGGGTAGATGAAACAGTGACCTTTGTTTTCAGATTGTAATTCCATTCCTGATTTTCCCCACTCACAAGAGTAGCAGGCTGTTTCATGGATGCTGCTCAGCATGTGGGGATATCAGAGAGGCTGCCAAAATAGTATTACACCATGGTCTTATATTTCTTAGCTGCTCCAGTAGGTGAAGGAGAGAGAAGGCTTCTATTGACATGCTGAGTAGAAAAGGAAAATGTCTAAATGCTGAAATGGTGGTATAAAGGCAGAGCAATTATGAATTCTTTTGGTTACATCAATCAAGTTGTCTATACCATCAGTAGTTCCTGCTATATATAAGGTGACAGAAAATCATTAGAAATTTTTTGGAATAAAAACACATTAAGTACTTTCCAAAAATTACTTTTCCTACAAAAGTCTTTGGAGGATGAGGAGTATTTCTAGGCATTGTAATTCATGTAAAGTGAAGAATTCCTTGTATACTCTTTTTTAACAAGAGTGTTGCTTCTTTTTTTAACTTGCTTCATGATTTGTAGCTTAGATGTAAAACTTTCACTTTTTTCACAGTGAAAATCAGTTACTTTTAAGGGAACACTGTACATCAAGACCAGTGTGAGACTTAAAGGAAAAGACATACCAAAAGATCATTATGGTTTGAAATAAAGAAGTACTATATTGTTGTCAGGATTAAGAGAAAAGACAAACCAGTTTTCTCTTTAAAATACACATCACTCACTTGAGTTTTTCCTTCAGGTACAAAGCAGATTTAAAAATAATTTTAATAAAAAAGCCTCTAGGTAGATAATTGAAAATTAAAAGAGTACGTTTTGAGAATAATAGATGAGAGGATTTTTAAAAAAATAATCTTGTTTTCCTCACTTACCCTTGGTGAATGCAGCCATTCCATGGCAGATTTATAAAGCCAGATAAATGAGAAATCGTCTTATTATCTTTTAGCATTTAAATATATTTTCTAAAATTGCTTTTATTTATTTGCCACACGGAGAAAATGAAACTATTTCTTTATGGGTGAAATTCCTCCTTAGATTTATGCTCTAGCATGGACTAACAGAAAAATGAAGGTATTTTTTGATTCTGTACTTGAAAAGATTTCTGTTGTTTTTAAAAGGCCCCTAAGCCCCATTTTCAGAACACCAAATCCTTAGTTCAAAATTGTGTGGTATTTTGAAAATTTACCAACAGCAGTAACTTTGCTGTTTTTTCTCTATTTAAAATTATTAGGTTTTGATTGACTTAATGGAAGAACAACAGTGTTCAATGCATTCTTAAAGATTCCTTGTGGTGAACTAAGACAGTGTGTTGTAATCCCTTGTGTTCTGAAATGCTGTTGCCTGTCTGGCCAGACACCATCTCCTGAAGTCTGGAAGCAAAGGTCAGTGATGACTCTGAAGAGCAGAGTCACTGGCCACTGCTTCCTGCTAAGTGCTTGCTGCTGTATTGTATGATACACAATTTATGCTGCTCTGAAACATCTCATTGCATACAAATTGTTGTATCAACTGCTGTAGATTTGAGTTGATACAAGGTGGAGAACATAGAAGGAAAGAGAAACACGCATGAGATAATCCTGTCTGTGTAATGACGAAAGTGGATGGAACCTAGAAAAAACCATGTGCTAAATAGCTGCCTGAACCTTTGTGAAGTCTTACATGACTCATAGAAAATATGACACAAAATATTCAGCTTGTAAATAATTTTGGGTTGGATCATTAACTAACATATCTTCATACGAACCTTTGAATGACATCATTCAATATATGTTCAAGATTTTTAAATCTATACAAACTGTAACGTGGTAATCCTGATCTTTTCACCTCTACAGCAGGTAAGTCCCTACAGAGGGGTATGATGCCTTAAAAGGGTAGAAAGGCTGCTGGTAGCATATGTCAAATGATGAGACCTATTTCTGTTCTATTACCACTGGAACCTCCTTGAGTATAGTTCCATAACCTTACAGTTCTGGTTCTTTTCTTCTAAGTGAAGTTATTAGTTAAGGACTTTGGGGTCTCCCTCTAGTACGACATTGCCAAAACTGATAAACAAAAGAAATTTCCTGCTTCTATTAGACACTTATAAAAAAGCATTGCTTCTGAAGCCTATGGCTTATTGACTTAGTAAGGAGAGATGATAGTAGAAGCTGCTATTTGAATAATTCACTATACTTTCTACATGACAGGATGGGGTCAGAGCAGAAAAGTGCAAACAATCCTAAGGTAAAATCTAGGTTACTAGCCCTGCTACTAGCTCTTTACTGCAGCCCCTTATTATGCAAATTGTGCTGTTTAATTGAAGTGTAAATTACTCTAATGTACATCATCTCTGAATTTAGCATGCTGTTTTCATTCATT